TATATATATATATATATATATATATATATATATATATATATATATATAAACACTTATATGAAAATACAAGTTAACCACTTACATATTGTTTCTCGACTATATGACTACTAAATACCGCTTGACGATCGATATTAACCTTACGAAATGCTGTGCAACAACTAAGCACGATGGGGATCAAGCCCTTTGACATTTTGAAAATAAGTATGCGCTTCACTTTTCTGGCCTCTATAAATTTTTTGTAGAGTCGCATTAATGCTCCACAACAACTAAGCACGATGGGGATCAAAGTTGACTTTATCCAAATCAAACTTTATCTACAAATACAAAAAAGTTAGTTAATTAAATACTTATCACAACTAAACTTAAAAATATTATCCAAGTTACCTTCAGATGCACGACTATGACATTCCTTAAAGCGGGGGAAACATTATCCCAACCAAATACGCTAAAAGGAATGTTCTCGCACATATACGTCCCAATCTCATGGGTAAACATATTTCCACGCTTACTGACATGGGAAAATGTGATCTCTCAGTCTAAATCCAAATCCACAGGCTTTCCCTTGTTTGCTCGTACCAACTTTGATAATTCGATGTTTTTAGATAATCCTCTTTTTTTTTGGTAGCTCAACTGAAAAGTATAATTAAAAAATATTAGTCACAATAGTTTATAATAAATGAATACAAATAGCTAATAAATATAGCATAATAAGACTTACGTACATCTTAGTGTTGTCCGTGACCAAAGCCTACCAGAGGTGGTGGATCCCCAGCTCCATCACCTCCATGTCCTAAGCACATCACAATGGCCATCATGTAAAAGAGTATCATCCAACTAAACCCCATATATATCCTGAAAATTTATAAGATGTACAAATAGAAACACAATATGAATAAAAGTTAGGTTACAAAATTATAAGATGTACAATATAGACAAACAATATGAATAAAAGTTAAAATTTGAATTTGGAATTCAAATAAAGTTTCTATTACAAAAAAAACATACACATATAAAGTTTTCCATTACATATGATTTTTTTTAATCAGAATATCCCTCATATACTTCAATGTCTTCTTCAGTATCATGATCAAAATCCTTATCATCATAATCAGTCTCTTCCTCGGAAAAATTATCGATTCTACCCATTGGCGGAGGTACTTCAGTCTCGTCATCATCATCATAATTAACATTGTTTTTAGCTACATCAACATTGTTTTGAAAGTATTTTGAGAAGTCGATAAAAAGTCTAGCACCGGATAAAGTGTTGTTTTGAACCACGTCCACATCGTCAACATTTTCGGCCTCCATATTGTTGACATTTTGGACAGAGTCATTGTAAGCATTTTGGACACGAGCATTGTTGGATGGTAGATCCCAAATACTTTGATGATTAGCATGATCGGCAACACAACGAGGGTTTTTCTTTTGGTTTCTTCGAGAAGGCTCATGGATGTATAACACTTGTTTGGCTTGCGAAGCATATATTAGCTGATCATCTTGGTACGCTTCGCAATCTGTGTTGATACCGATGAAATAATCATCAAGAATATCTCACGTATCGAACAACTTGCACATATTATACTCGAATAATGATATGGATATTGCACCTCTATAATGTCTTATAACTGGCCATAATATTTCTCTCCATTTCTCACCCACCGCTATAACCCTCGGATTTTTGCGTTGTGCGTTGTGCATCACGACTAAGTACCATAAACCTAACACCGTTGACTATACATGCGGTGTAAGTATAAACATTCATTTGTGAACCCATTGAAAGGGTCGACAACTCTTTGTTGAATTCTGGAGAGTTTTCTATTTCCATATGAAAAACCTATTAAACATATATTAATGTGTTATGTATTCTTGATTCATTATATTGACCGAACATATTTGTTTGTTAATTATTATTACCTTTTCAAGAAACAGTTAGGAAATTCGATCTTTTCGTCACTTTCAGGATGTTCAGATTTGAATTTTCTATATTGATGAAAAAAAAATATATATAAAATTGATGAATGGAAAAAAGTAACATTAGATAATGAAAGATAAAGATAAGAACACTTACTTGATGTATTGTTTGACTTCTTCACAACTATTTAATATGAACCATTATATATTACGTTTTTCCTTTAGATCAAGTTGTTTGATTTGCATTGTGCTAGCCGGTCGACACTTTGACTCAAACATCCAAAACTTTGTTTTTTCAACGACAACATCCTTGTTTCTTTCAGGGCAATTGAATTGAGTCTGCACATCTTGAAGGTTCATCGAACAAAATGATAAAGCTTCTTCAGCAACATAACCTTCAGCTATACAACCTTCCGACCTCGCCTTATTTCTGAAATAGTTTTTTCATATACCTTTCGAACGTATACATCCATCTTATACATACCCGACCTACGAAAATCGCTTCATCAGGTAAATGCACAACTAAATGAATCAGAATGTCAAAAAACACTGGAGGATAAATCAACTCTAACTTGCACAAGATTCAAATCATGTCTTCTTTTTCTTTCCTCATATCCTCCACCTTTAGTGTTCTGTAGGAAATTTTTCTTGAAAAACGTGTAAAGATCTACAATTGGTGTAGAAGTATCTTAGTCCAATAACGCTCTAACTCCAATCGGTATCAAACGTTGCATGAGAATTTGATAGTTATGATATTTTAGCCCAATAATGTTAGTATCATTATCTACCACTTTCTTAATGATGTTAGATCCAAACCCATCTGGCTGTTTAACATCTTTTATAAATTGACAAAAGATTTTGCGAGTTCAGGTTTCTTGAATGAGTATCTTTCATGTGGTATAGTTAACTTGTTACCCCTTCTTTGCAACCATTGATTACACAAGATATTCAGATTTCTCAAGTCATCTCGTGCATCTGATGTGTCTTTACTCTTATCGTTCATTAGAGAAATACCCAAAACACTCTCAACCACATTTTTCTCGACACGCATCACATCTATGTTGTGCTTCAG